TGCCTAAGCAGAACTTCTGACACAACTGCTCTCTAAATCTACATTCCAGAGTCATGCAGGTGTCTGTGTTGGATGGAACCTAAGTAAATGTTAATCCATCTGCAAGAAGTCAGGAACATGGAGAGTTCAGCTTGCTAGTCTACCGTGTTGAAGGCACACTGAGGAGGAAGGAGGAAGAGGCTGGGAAGTGAGCCAGTGGCCAGGGACATAAAAGGGCACATTTGTGAATCACAAAAGGGCTAAATAAACATAACTCTACTTATGTCCAGCCATACTGTGGGGAGTGATTATTTCTCTCATGTTCTGAAATTCCACAATACCTAGTGTAGCATATAGTCAAACCATTATGTTCAAAGATAAGAAAAGAGGAGGGGGATCAACGAATTAAGATATTAGAAAGATGCAATATACTCAATAACTCAAGTGTAGCTGTCCTTTCCCCACCTCTGCAGAAACATTACAAGGACTCACTACTGGGAACTGTCATGATCAGATTCCAAATCCAATAGTGTCTTACATGGTTTACATCCTCAGTCTCCAAAGAATCTCCTGAAGTAGACACTATAATCATCCACATTTTTAGACAAGAGAACCAAGGCACAGCAAAGTCAAGAGCCTAGTACGATGTGTAGTCAAGACTAGAACTCAGACAGGCTGTCTTGTATCCTATGTTCTCAATTGTTTTACCAAAGCATGACCTTATACTATTATGGTATAGACTTGGGGCTAAACAGACACTTTTAGGGCAGAACCATATATATTTCTCTACCTGAGAGAGGTCTCATACTTTGTTGGAATGTTACAAAATATAATCATACAACATTATAAATGAAAATGACAAAGACCTACATTTCCCAAAAATTTTATATGCAAATTTACAATAATAATTTTGCATTAATGTGAGCTTTGCATTTAAAAGAGAACTTAACTTTGATGTATAATAAACTATGTTAAGACATTAAATCTGTAAGTCATTGTTAAAAAAGTTTACTTATTTTAAGTAAAGAAAATTTCCAGTCTTTGATATGTATACTTTGAAACATGAAAATAAAATTCCTTTCCTCAACTGTCCCTTTCTATTTCACAAATATTGATCTCTCCATATGTTATAAATAATGATGAAATTAATAGGAACTGTTTTTAATAAATCCAAATCATAGCTCCTTTCATGTCCAAATTTTTGGGAAAGACTGAGGTGAAAAAGTTGCTTAAGCTTTAGGAAAAACTGAAAACAACCTGAAACAGCTTTCGAAGAGAGCTGAAAGACAATGAACAGGGAAAACAACTACAGAAAGGTATTTGCAGGTTGGGGATGGGAGGGCACTTCAATTAGTGGGATATGAGGTAGGGTGGGACCAAGGCCAGAGTCCAAGTAAAACAAGATTAAAAGGAGGAATACAAGCAAAGACTATTAGTTTGACCAACATGTTAGCCATGATTCAATGGGAAAGACATACTCTGTGGAATAAGTAAAACTTGTCTGTAAATTCTCTTTAAATATCTGGTATCCAACAAAGGTTCTCATTGTTTTTGAACCTTAGGCACTTAAACAAGGTGTCTATATAACTGACTTGCAGAGAAGAACCAAAGGGACATCACACACTGGGTCAGTACCATGCAATTCCCAGCACAGAATGTGGCACCCTCAGCACAGAGGGTACTGAGGAGGTGCAGAGCACTCTCCTCTCCACAAGACACAATGCAGCCAGGCAGAGGAAAGATTAGTTACAGGCAGGCTGCACAGTCCAAAAGACGCCTCAAATTTTCTTTATAATTTATAGTTTTAAAAATGTATTTCTATTCCTAATTATTTTCTAATTGAGTAACAGGGCTAGTTAAAAAAAAAATACTTACAGTCAGTGAAAATTAAAGCTATTTTGAAGCATTTTCACAAACATACTAATGAACTATAAACTTACACTATATATTACTGTGGGAAAGCTTCACTGGTAAAGTAATTGTTTTAGTCACTAAATTATTAAATTATGAAAACTGCTATAATTGGCCCAAATAAAAGTGGTTTGGGATGTGTTATATTTTGGTATGTGCATATTTTTTTAAATATAAATTGACTATATTTCTTTACTTAATGAATTTCTATATTATATGAAACCATGATTTTATATGACTATATCACAGAACAGAGGGCAACCTGTATTCCATCTATTTTACAAACATATTTTTTAATAAATAAAAAGTCTCCAATAAACCTATTCCTTTTCAAATCATCCTATGTTTGGGAAAAATGTCCTATTAGCATCTTGGAACTCATTTCAAATCCAACATAATGTTAGTTACTACTGACATAATTTTGATACTTTCAAATCTAGGAAAGCATTTGTAAGATGACCAAGCCATTCCATAATGTTCTCAAGGCCCTGTGTACTGTCACAGTTTTATAACTGAATGGCAGCCTGAGTTGGTCTGATGAGGGTCATACAGACAAGTGTGCCACCCAGAGGCAAAAGGAGGAAATTCACCAGTACAAAACCAATATTAACATTTAAAATTTTATTTGCTATTACTTATTTTATTTTACAAATACAGGAAATTCTTTATAATGCTCTCTCTGCAGGAACAAAGTCTTTCAGTTCCAGGCTATATAAAAGTGTAGGCTCTTTGAGAACTGTCACAGGATGGAAACAGATCCTGACATGGTACTAGTTACAGGTGCAGTTTGCCAAATTAAAAAATTTAATTTAAGTGTATTCTCTACAGTAAATACTTTCCTTTCTTTTTATAATTAATGTAACATGAACTTTCAGAAGTACATATAAAGTTCTGTTACAATCACACTGATTTATTTAGACATATAGAGGAAAAGTTAAAACTAACAACCAGAGACATTTCTTACTTAAATGAGAAAAGTTTCTTTCATTAGAAGGTTTTCTATATAATTTTCTTCTGGCAAAGGAATAAAGTTTATTTAGAGTAATTCTATTTGGCAGACAATCAGGGTTCTTAAAATACATACCAAATAATTGTTAAGGTTAAAGAAAAACAATCAATGTTATTAGACACATAAAAGTTCAAGCTTCTAATAGCCTAAACAATGGGCTGATTATAAAATGGAGATTTATACTATTCCTGTTTTGTCTCAGAAGTCTGAACAGTGGGATTACTGCCAGCCACAGGGCATCATTTACGAGTTACATATTTTACAATGAACTACAAAAGATCAAAAGATCAAACCAAATTTAACTCAAAGCATAGCTTATATATTAAAAAGCAAAAATGATTTTAAAACTTGAAAACATTTTCTACACTGTAAAATCTTTTTTTGAGAAGTGTGCACTACCAAATATCATAATATATATTATTTTATCTCATTTTGTTTCATTTCACTCCAATATACTTTACAATAGAAAGATGATTCTACACTCACATCAATTCATGTAACTTGCTAGAAAACTCACCCTAATAATATATGAGTTTAAAGCTAACATCAAATTTGTTTGCATTAAATGAGAAGATTCTACAGTTTCTTATCACTTGCTATTTCAAGTAAAAATTTTTTTTCTTAAAATCTTAGCAAAATAAAGTACTGTTAGTTAAACCTTCCCTTCTTGGTTCTGTCACTAAAGTATCTCATTATCTGTAAGAGTACATTCTTCTTGTATTTATTCCTCTTGATCCCAGAATATCTGAACGTGAAGCACAAACAGTTCTACGTTCATATCTCTACTTTCTACATTTAATCAGGAAATACGGGGGACTATGGGTCTAAGTCCAGTTTGCTATATAGCTGTCTTTTGCACACCACTGAAACTGGAGCAAATGTGACAAAGACAGCTTAGTAGGATGGTAGGATTATTACCTTTAGATAAAAGTTCAATGATTAAAGCTCAAAGTGTTTATTAGGGAATATACCGTAAGAGTTTTAAGCAAGTGCAAGGGCTAGGACGGTTCAAGTGCATTCTGAAACAACAGAAAATCTGGCTAACTGGGAGAGAGACTTATTAAATGTACCCTGGGGATATCAAAAAGACTTGTGTATCTGGCTTACACTTTCAAAGAATAAAAGAATTATACAAAGGTAGGTCATAAATGATTCAAGTGTACTAATAAGTATGTACACTTTAAAGAGTAAATTCTGAAACACTTTCCAAACTGCTACTGATCAAGAAGTTCAAGTGATAAAATGAAATACATTAAAATTTCTTAACCCTTTTGTATTCCTGCTCATCTTCAATGCTTAATCTTAGTTCTCTTCATTTTTTAAATCTATATTCATTTAACCACTTCCTGATTAATGTCTATGTCTGCTCCAAGTCCAACTCTATTCTATCGCTAGAATATCGCATTTTCAAGTCCATCTTCAGAGTCCAGAATAATCCCTGTGTAGTAGAAACCAACCCTATCACTGACCCATTAGAGATTCAGAGAGCAAGTCTGCAGTCAGAGTACTCCAGTTCTCCTCCCCAACCTCTGTCCACTGGACACAACGGGAGAAAGGCACCAGGCTGCCCACTTTGCACTAACCACGCCATGTGTATGCAAAGGGGCTGTCACAACGGTTTCCTTTGGCTTTCTGTTCAATTTCATCACCATTCACAAAACTTGTCATTAAAAAATGGTAAGCCTCTAATTTATGGTTAAGGTTTTCCACAAAATATCCTAACTTCTAAAAAAAACTATTTTCAAATATTTTAATGACCAGAATAATTTCCTTCAAACATTAGCTAAAATGCCAACAAAAAGTAGATTAAATAGTATTTATGAGGGTGACAGGACAGGCAGAAATTAAGCTGTAGAGAACTATATACATCAAAGAATAAAATTCAGATTTGGTTTGGTACATTACAAAGTCACAGAAAGAAAAAGCAGGAATGTGGTTAAAACCAGTTTTGAAAAACCAGTGTGGTTGCTGTGTGTAAAAGAGTTGAAACTGAAAATCTCGACATTTCTGTTACATTCTCATAAAACTTAATTAAACCTGCAAAGCATGACATACAACTTCCAAATTAACGGGCTACCGTGATAAAGGAGTCCCAGAATACCTGATCCTCGCTGGTTAGTCCCAAGTGCATCACGAGGTAAAAATGCACCAGGAAGTCTGAGTTTGGCAGCACGTCCTGGCGTCTGGTCATCATGGCACAGATCAGTCTGTAGGCCTGTAGTTTGCCTTCCTTATATTCATTTGGCAATGTAGTCGCCTGCCAAAGAAATGATGTTTAAAGATTTAATCAACTCCAGATGCAGAACATTTCAACATTTCATTTACTACTCAGTTTGCCATAAAAGTTGTTTATGGAGATGTGGGATGCAGTAGTTTTAGAAAGACCCAGCTTGACTTGTAAGCATGCAGTTTGGGGCAATTACAATTTTTAAACTCAATTGCAGAAAGAAAGAGGAAATTGCAATAAAGAAATCAACACATATGCACTTGCCTTAAATAGCCATGATGCAAACATTCTGAGTGGTGGGATCAGAACCGGAGGAGATGGAGAAGTCTGGTTATCCAGACTTATTGCTAGATTATCCCGTATCTAATTCACAAAGAGGAAAATTTTAGGAACAGCAATATGTAGGTTATCCTCAAGATATTTCAAATTGTATTTATGGTCAAATATCTGCTTCTAATTAAATTTCTCTAAGTTGAGTGAAACTCTACAATATCTACAAATTTCTTTTGTATCATATGATCTATTATCCATTGGTATTATGGTTCTGAGTTGTTATACCTGGTTTTACATCTAACATATGACTAAGGCACTGCTTTTTATTGACTACTGTTTGGAGAGGCGCAGAACTCCAAATGTTGATTAACAGTTTATCAAATGTTTTACATATAAACATGAAGTATGTTTCTGAAAAAGAATGTAATAGAGTAAGAAAAGTATATATAATAACAAGAACCAAAATGAAAAATGTATGTATTCTAAGATTTCACTTTTGTGAAACCTTTTACCACAGAAATAAGATTATATGTTTGTTAATAGTGGTTATTTCTTGAGATGGATGTTAATTTTCTTCTTAGTATTATTTCATACTTTCAAATTTTGTACAATAAAACCAATATCGTTTTTATAAAGAGAATAACTAAAACTACATAATACTCTATTATTTAACATTCTACATAGTATCCAAGAGCTGACAGTAATATTTCTTCTAATCCATTAAGTAACTGTCCTGCAAGTATAAGATCCAACTATAAGAATTTTTATTTACTCTTTTACAAACAAATATACTTTACCTAACACCTAATTTGCATTTCAGAATATATGTTCAGTAGGTCAAGGCAAATTAATTTTCCTGTGTTAGAATAAAAGGTAATGTAGTGAGATATACCTTTGCTAGTTTGTACCAGAGTTCATAGAGGTAGCCAAAAACTTTGGCATGGATCCTTGGTGACTGGATATTATTCACATCTCCAAGGATTCCCAAGACTCTTCTCCATAGCACAGCAGCAGAATCTGGGTGCCAACCGGTGAGGTTCCCCCCAGCAATGATACTACAGTCGTCGGTAAGGCATTCACTGCTGTCTAGGGAGAAATATGTGTGTGTTAACCCTATAAAATCAGTCATGATTTCACCACTATAGCCTTTTTTCTTCAATAAAAATTAAAATGAAGTGTTAAATGAATGACAATTTGAAATGATAGAAAAGCAGAATAAATGAAGAAAGGTTAGATGATTTTGATGCTTCCAATTATAAGGACAATAATCTAGAAAAGACAAATCACTTCTTGGAGACCTGCAGAAGAAGGATAGGCGAACCTTGAGCAAGATGGGTAGGGAATAGGGGCATGAAAAATAGGTGGTAGAAGGGTCTCATTGCCAGTGACTTCTGTTGTGGCTGTTACAGATTCCATTTTTAAGAAATGCACACTATCATGTGAATGTCATCATACACTGTTCCCATAAACTATTACTTTAGTCCCTTTCTTTTCAAGACAGCATATCTACAATTCAGCTGCAAATTGTGATTCACTGACACTCAACTCTACTAACCTCAATACTGCACTTACATTTTTAGGCTTTGAGTTGTTTTGGTTTTGTCTCTTTGTAGTCCTCTCAAAGTGAAATCACTGGTGTTTTTCTTTCTCTTTCTAACGTATTTCACTTATTACAACACTTTAGGGGTCTATGCATATTGCTGAAAATGACAAGACTTCATTTTTTTGGTCAAGATTGTTCTGGTTATTTGGGGTCTTTGTGGTTCCATATAAACTTCATTAATGTTGATTTATTTCTTTGAAGAAGTCTATTGATAATAGGGATTGTATTGAATCTGCATTTTCCTCAGGTAAGAAGACCATTTTAAGAATTTTAATTTTTCCAATCCCTGCAGAAGGAATATTATTCCATTTCTTTCTGTTCTATTACTTTGAATTTTTTGTTGATCTCATCTTTTACTTCCTATTCTAGCTTTATTTCTTGATGTTACTGTTAGTGGGATTTTCTTGATTTCATTCTCTTCTGATTCACTATGTGCATATAAGAATGCAACAGAGGCCCTTCCTGGTGGCTCAGCGGGTTAAAGCACAGCACTAAGAAGCTAAAGCCACTGCAGCATGAGTTCAATCCCTACCCCAGAGGTGACCCACATGGCGCAACAGACCTCTCTTGACCCATCTACTGCTCTCCTCAGCAGTGTACTTCATTCATCTGCCTGTTCTGCTCCCCACTCTGTCTCTGGTGAACCCTCTCACCACCTCTGGCCTATACCCCTGTTCTGTTATGCATAAATAAATAAATCTTAAAAAAAAAGAATGCAATAGATATTTGTATACTGATTTTATCGACTATCTCTTGATTATACTGGTTAATCATTTCCATTAATTTTTAGGGGTGTCTTTAGGGTTTCCTTTGTATATTATTAGACCTGTAAATACTATTAGTTTTACTTCTTTCTCAATTTGGATTCCTTTTATCTCTCTCTTTTTTCTAATTGCTCTAGCTAGGACATCTGCTACTATGCTAAAAAGTAGTGGTGAAAGTGGACATCCGTGTTGTATATCTGATCTTAGATGAAAAGCTTTCAGGTTTTCACCATCCAGTATGAAGATAGCTGTGGTTTTGGTATATATGATCTATATTATGTTGAAGTATGTTCCATCTACCCCCATTTTATAGTTTTTATTATAAATGGATGATGATTTCGTCCCGATTTTTTACTATTTAGCAGCATAAAAATGTTCATAATTGTCTTTTATGATCATCTACATTTCAGAAGCCTACTGTAATTTCTTTTGTTTCTGATTCTATTAGAGGTTGTTCCCACATTTAGTGATTCTAGCTACATTTGTCTACTTTAATTTTTCAAAGAACCAGATTTTTGTTTTATTGAGTTTCCAAACATTTTAATTTCCATTTCATTTTTATTTCTATTTTAATTAGAGTATAAGCCCTAATTTTTTATTATTTCCTTCCTTTTCTGGCTTTTGGTTTTATTCATTCATCTTTTTCTAGTTCCTTAATATACAAGTTTAGATAATTTAAAACAAGAATTCCCTCTTAGTGACTCTTTTGTTGTGTTCCATGGTCTTTATCTCCAGATATTCTTAATTTTCTCCTTTGATTTCTTAATCCAATTGCCATTGTTGTCCAGTCTCCACAAATAAGAGGTTTTTCTCTGCTTTCTTTTTATGCTTATTTCCAGTTAGATACCATTCTAATCAGTGAAGATACTTATTTCAATCTTCATGAATTTATTGACACTTATTTTGTGACCCAATATATATTCTATGCTAGAGAATTTTTCATTTACTTGGAAGAATGTGTTATACCCTATAAATATCAGTAGTCCCACTTATTTTAATCCTCCATTTAATGCTTTTGTTCCTTTGTTGTTTTTCTGGAAAATCACTGATGTAAGTGTGGTGTCGAAGGCCCCTACGACAACTGTATTGTGGCCAATGTCCATTATTAGGTATGTTAATAATAGTCATCTGTATTTCAGTGCTACGTCATCTGGTATATATATGAGTGTTAAGTCTTCCTAACATATTGATCCCTTAATCATCATATAATATTCACACCTGTCTTTTGTTATCTTTTTAGCTGAAAGTTTATTTTTTATCTAACTACAACTGTCTCTGTTCCTTTTTGTATCCATTTACTTATAAGATTGTTTTCCAGGCATTTATTTTGAGCTTATGTTTATTCAGGAGTTCAGGTAGGTAGACTTATCCTGAAGACAGGAAAAAACTGGGTTTTATTTTCTGATCTAATTGGTTACTCTATGCCTTTTGATCAGTGAGTTCAGTCCATTTACACTGGAGGTGATTAACGCTATCCAAGGATTTGCTATTACTGTTTTTTCTTTAATATTCTGGTTCTATTCTATATTCATGGATTTAGATAATAATGCTCCTTTCAAAATTTCCTCCCGGGGGAGGTGTAGCTTTGGCAAACTCCTTCACCTTTTGTTGGGAAGTCCTTTTTTTTTTTTTTTTTTCTCACATCTGAAAAAGAGGTTTGTAGAATATGGTGCTTTGGGCTGGCATTTTTATCTTTGAGCATTTTGAATATATCATTCTTTTCCTCATTTGCCACATTTCTACTGAGAAGTGTGATTTCTTGATGGGAGTTACCTGACTTTATCCTGCTAGTCATCTTCAATATTCTTCTCTGTCTTGAATTCTGGCTAAATTCAATTTGTGTCTTGGTTGATGTTTTACTGCTTTTAGATCATGCTCTTGCATATTAATTCCTTCTCAGGTATTGAGAAGCTATTATTGCCTTGAGTAAGTTTTGTATCCTCTGTTCTTTCTCTTCCCTTTCTGGGATACCTATTATTCTTATTCTTGTTTTGTTTTAAAGATTTATTTATGCATACAGAACTAGGGTACAAGCGACAGGTGTAGGAGCAGTGAGAGGATTCACAGAGTGGGGAGCAGAACAGGCAGACTGCTGGGACTACACTGCTGAGGGGAGCAGCGGGCGGGTAAAGGAGAGGTCTACCTCGCCATGTGGGGCAGAACTTGCATTGAGGCTGCTCTGGCACACTTGCAGTGCTGCGCTTTAACCCGTTGTACCACCAGAGAGGCTCCCTATTATTATTCTGTTGACTTTCTTAATGGTGTTGGATATTTCTCAAATTACCTCTTCACTTTTTTTTTTTTTTTGCATGGTATTTCTTTCATTTTTCACTTAAATTCTTAGTGCATTTCTATTACATTTTTATCTAATCCTCCATTTGGTCTATACTATTTTCATACCTTCCTCTAGAGTTCTTGATTTTACTACTTCCTTATTTTCTGTTACTTTCTTATTTAAGGTTTCAAATCTTACCTTTTCTTCATTAATTTTATTTCTGAGATAATTTTATTTTTCTGAATTTTGTTGTTTCTCTTTCATTTGCTTTTTTGATTTCTCTTGCATTGCTTTTACTTTCCTTTCTGAGGTTTTTTTTTTTTTTTTTGCAGCTCTTTTAAATGTCTTTACTTATGGCAGTTCTTCACCTAAAAAGGATATATAATCTTCCATCTTTTTGTGCTTATATTCTGGAAAGTTGTTCCCACCTTGTGATGTCTCATGTTGCCATGTATTCTACTTTTTTGTCTGTACATTTTGTTGTTTGACATCACCCTATTTTTATTACTTTTTAATATTGATAGCAGTATCTTTCAGTGTTAAACTATTTCATTTTTCCCATAGGTGGTGCTCTTTTTATGTTTTTGGCCTTTGTTGTATATACTAAGAACTGTTCTGGTGTTGCTGAATCAACAGGATGGGGCTGGGGCTGTTGGCACTCAGAGAGTGGTACAGAACATTTTAGCTAGGTATGGCTCATTTTTGTGATACTCTTACCCTCTGGTATTTGGGATGAGTGAGCAGTCCTGTGCATTCTTGAGATGCCTCATGAAGTATGGAAGGTAAGCGCAGGCTACATTGCCTGCTTTGGTTTTATCTTTACTGGGGAACCTGTCTGTGTGGAGTACTCTAGTTCTTTCATGAGGTTTCTCAAACTTCAAAGGTGTGTGTCTCCACACAAATTCCATCTAAGACCACTGGCTAAACTGACTGCCCTACTACTGATGTCTCTTGTTCCAGACCACAAGCCCAAGTTTTCTCTCTCCACCTGTCTTCTGCTCAATGTAACACAAATTTCTCCAGTGTCACCCTGTTTGAAGTTCCACCATTTTCTGATATCCAAAATTTGTTCAAGTTCCATCCCTAGCTGAAAGACTAGGGACTATATTGTCTATGTTTTCTTTAAGTGTCATTTGCTTTGTTTTGCTGAAATCTAGTTCTGATTATATGGATGAGGGAGCCTGGGATTTTCACTCTGTTGCCATTCTAATGTTAATTCTTCCACAGTGTTTTTAAAGGAGCAGTTTTTAATTGTCTACCCTAGTTCTTTCTAATATATACACATATGTTCTCAATTTTATTGGTTTCTATTAACCTATAATTCTTATTTTTTGAATAGGACACAGATCAGTATTTTCCTCTTTCAATGTACAATGTTAAGGCCATATACATTCTTTCATAATAGTTTTCAGCCATCTTCTAGAGTTTAGATATGTAGATTCCA